ACACACACACACACACACACACACACACACACACAATCAATTACACCTGCAGAGGAAAAGAGCTCCACAAGCCATTTCACTTGGAGTCAGAAAGCAGACTTGATCACCTCCTACGTGTCGCCTTTTCTCTTCCAAACTTCCCATCACTGGATACAGAGGAACTGTGAGGTCTCTGCTATAAACACTAAGCCAAGTGTCAAAGCCGCAGGTTTGCTCTAGTGAGTGTAACAAAGTGTAACAGTATGAGGCTCCATGTTTGAACAAGAACTCTGTCCTCCCTATCCTTTCCAATCTCGCACACAGCAGTGCATCCGTTGTTGCAAAGGTTTACTCATCAACATACCCACRGAGCCCTCAATTTGAAGGGATGCTACATTAGTTCTGGTAGCTGAAAAYACATGAGGAAATGTGTTGGGGGCCTGCTGTTGTTACACCTTMCTATATGGAGCAATTTGTTTCAGTCACCTCCTAATATTTGCATGATTCTTTTCAAATTTGTTTCTGAAATWATTTGGCTCGGTACTGAACATGTAATGTCAAGTTTGACTCTAGCTGTGCTAACTTTCTCTCGTTCTCTGAAGTAAAACTTTTGTTTTTTTATCATCACTATTGCTGTGTTTTCAGGTTTACACTTGCTTTCAAGAAAGACTTCTGACAAAAAGAAAGTACTGTTTTAAAAAAGCTGATTTGAAAATAAAGACCTAGCATTCCTTGAAGGAATCCATATCAGAGATAAACACTTCTAATTTTAGGTCAGCATCTGTAAAATAAACTGACTTACAGCCATTTTTATGTGTTAATGGACTGTAGTTTAGTTGTGGCAGACATCTTGAAGTGGATTGACTCCAAAAGTTATTCAGCTGAAARTGAACAWACGTCTGTCTRTCCATCCGTTTTCTTWCRCTTATCTGGGGTCGGGTCGCRGGGGCAGYAGCCTAAGCAGAGAGACCCAGACTTTTCCTCTCCCCAGCCACTTGGACCARCTCCTTTGGGGAAATCCCAAGGCATTTCCAGGTCAGCTGAGAAACACAGTCCCTCCAGTGTGTCCTGGGTCTTCCTCTGGGTCTCCTCGTAGTGGGACATGCCCGGAACACCTCACCAGGAAGGCATCCAGGAGGCAGATGCCTGAGCCACCTCAGCTGGCTCAACTCGAGATGGGGCAGCAGCGGCTTTACCTTGAATCCCTCCTGGATGACCGAGCTTCTCAGCCTATCTATAAGAGAGTCCAGACACCCTGTGGAGGAAACTCATTTYGACTGCTTGTATCTGTGATCTYGTTCTTTAGGTCACTACCCAAAGCTCATGACCATAGATGAGGGTAGGAACATCACTGCAGACGCAGCACCAATCCACCTATTGATCTCCTGCTCCATTCTTCCCTCGTTCGTGAACAAGACCCCAAGATACTTGAACTCCTCCACTTGGAGCAGGACATTTTCCCCGACMCGGAGGATGCACTTTACCCTCKTCTGGTTCAAGRCCATGGTCTCKGATTTGGWGGCACTGACCCTCATCCTTGCCRCTTCACACTCGGCTGCGAACCGCTCCAATGAGAGCTGGAGCATTGCTGGTAAAAATGTACATTCGATGATAAATGTTTGCCAATTTCATCAGGATCCATCCAGTTTTTTTATTTTTATTTTTTGCTTTTCCCTAAATTTCACTCAACTGTTACCAAAGTTACAGGTAAAGAGCTTGGAAAAATTAGTGCTCCAAGTATATGCGGGAAGTTATTCTCAGATATTATCCCACCAAATTTTGGCTCAGTATTAATAAAAATGGCAGTCCTCTTTTTCTGTCTTTTTAAATGTTTATTAGCTGTGGTGGCCATCTGGAATTGATTTGACTGCAAAAGTTAATCAGTTATGTAATTAAAATCCATTTTAAGAAGTTTTGCTTACACATGCAAATGCCTGCTTTTCACCTTTTTTTGGCAGGGAATAAAAATGAGCCAAATTTAGTTAAAAATGCACATTAGTTGAGCTCGTATTCTTTTTCTTTGTGGGATATAAAGCATGCTCTTGAAATGAATCATTCTCTCACGTGGGCCTTTTGTGCAAGTCTAGCACTCTTGAACTCAACTGTTCCTGTTGCACAGCTCCCCTCCACTTCTTTCACTTTCATTAGAGCTTTCAGTATAAAACCTGTCATTACATAGCGAGATGCTTGATGCCTCTGGCCTTTGATATCCGCCACGACGGAAATTCAAAGGATGCCTGGAAACCGTCTCGCCCTTTCTCACACAACATGGTGGCATTGTTAAAGCAYGCTGCTTCTTAAAACCCGCTGCCACACTCAGACTGACTGACGTCTGAGAAGACCTAATGTGTTCCTTCCATCTGTTTCCAGATCAGAAGTCAGAGGCCCATTCTGTCCAAGCTGCTGCCTGTCCTTGGATGGAATTTTTTTGTGCCATCGAAAGAGGGAACTAAAGGAAMTGAAGCCGCAGAGAAGTTTCTCCGGCAGTAACCAGTCTGCCGTCACTCCCCTGCGAATAGATGGAGTCTAATTGATGTTTGTGTATGTGCACCTGCTTGTGTGCAGTTCAAGTCACTGTACTCTCCAAAGGCTCATTAATTATAGTTGGAGCCATTATGGAGATAAGTGTGAGCTTGACTATTGGAGCTGACGATAGGAAGAAAAATTACCTGTTTTGGAGCTTCTTCTCTCTAATCAGCTGCCCATTAGCAACACTGAGGGACTTCTATTATCGCCTTTTGTTCTTCCATGTCTTTTTCTTTTCGATTTCTGTTTGGCATTTCTCCATCGTTCAGTGCATCCTCACGAGTGTGTGCACGCGCCCGTGTGTRTGTTTCCCCATTATAATCCGAGGCACATGATAATGAGCCAATATTCATGCAATCTGGAGCACTTTGTACATATCATCCTTGTGAGGACAAACCATCACTTAATGTGACTTTATATCTTTTAAAGAGAGGTTCTGTGGAAAGGATACAAACAATTAATATTTTACGTATGGCAGATTGTGTATTTTATTCCATGATTAAACAAATGACTACAATTGACAGCTGGGGGATTATTTGCACAATGATAGCACAGTTCGGACAGTCTTGTAATCCTTTGTCAGAGTATCAACAATACTAATATTATCTCTGAGGGGAAAATGAGGGGAAAAACATTGGACATTGTCTTCACTAAAGACTGTTTTCATAACATTGGTAGATATTCTGAGTAAACAGGGGTTTTATGACTAAGCAAAATAATATTATTCAAACTAAATATCACTTTAGTATCATTTTCTTTGGTGCCCACAACAGCTCTTTGTTTTTCCAAACTGAGATCATTAAGAGGCTAGTTCTGACCAGATGGATGAGGTAATGGTTCACTTGATGGGCAATACGACCAAGTTGCTGCTGGCCTGCAATTATTCCAGCCTCAAACTTTTTTTCTTTACTGCGTTACGCAATTGTTTGTTTGAAAGACTTTACATTGTCAATTTTGCATTGTGCAGTTATTTACAAATAATTCTWGGAGAGTTACAAGCAACAAGCTGTAGCCTTCTGGTACAGCCTGGGGCATTTTTTTCAAAATAATATTTCTGGCAGAATAACTATGAGGTGCAAGACTGATGGCTTTGTAAAGATTTGCAAAATAGTGTTTGCATAAACTATTTTGGACTGAAGCCATTTTAAGATGGCAGATTTGGATTAAAAATTATATTACTGATACCATCATAGTATGCCATTGAAATAATTCATGTTGTAGATTTAAAGATGTCATATCTTCTTAGATAAAAATGTTCCAAAGTCACATTGTCTGATTGTTTCTCTGGTCTTAACAACTCTGTTAAAAGAAATAAATATCCCTTTAAGTTATGTGGAAAACATATGCTTGAGGAATTTTATTTAATTGAAATCTTTTGGTCATCTGTGTTCACTTGATTTTGTGGTAATTAGATTTTCTTTTTCCTGCTGATGTATATGCTGATTGACACATTTCTGATGTTCCATAAAGGTTTTAGTGCATCTGAGCCACAGACACCTTGAGCTGACAGGATCAAAGTGATGGACTTAAACAGGCATTAAACARAAACACAAGCACTTGCTGTGATCTGTACAAATATCAGCAGCTCACTTTATGTGGAAAGATAAATATGTTTCAGTAGAAACTATGTGTTATTACAAACTGTTCGAACATAATTTTTAACCATTAGTCCTTTCTATAATGGTGTTGTAACTCTGATGTCCTGTGACTGAGGCAGATGCAGATAAATATTGACAAAGATAAGCAACCAGTCACTGTTAATGTCCTTTCTGTTATTGTGTTCAATTGTTTTGTTTTAAAAGGCAAAAAATAACATCAAATACAYAATTAAAATAAGTAAATTAAATCAATAAGGCATCTATTTCTTTGGTAGGGGCAAGGAGGTGCTTAAAGGGGGGTATTATGTATTTTCCAGGCAATAGTTCAATTCTGTACTACAATTAAGTAACTGTTACCTTCAGTTGTTATGAAAATGTTGTATATATTGAAAATAAATTTGACTTTSCATCTTAGTCTAGCTAAATGCCTTGAAATTGGTCTCAGTTTCTTTAGGAACCTCCTACTGCTTTTTAACATTTCCATTTCAGCACATTTTCAAACAATGCTTCAGAGTGGGGTGCCCTGTGGGGCTGGAGCTCGGCTGCAGACTGAGCTCCAGGGAGGAGCTTTGTGTAAATAGGTGGCACTTTGTACCAGCAAGTGTTTAGGCAGATACTCATGGCTACCACATGAGATTCAAGGATTTCTCAAACATGCATGAATGAGACAAAGCAACACAGTGGTTATGTTTTTGATGAGGGAACATTATAACATGATAGCTTTATGATCTGGAAACTAATGTCTTACACTACTGCTGTCAAACAATAATTTACTGCACCAAATAAAGAGCAAGAACAACAAAAACATTGCATCCAAATGGAAATGTCATGCCATTTGCTAAATATAACCTATCATTCTCACTCCTCATCATTTTGGGGATTAGTTTTTTGGTTTGCACAATATTACGCATGCAAACAATCGACTTATGGTTAATTGTTGAATAGTGGTTTATTAGATTAAAATCTGTTCCAATCAATTACCTGATAACCTCTGCTGCCACATCACATGGTCCATTTAAATTGCTGTAACCAGAAAGGTATGCCTTCTCTGAGACTTTCAATTTGAGTCAATAGAGACTTCAAACTTCAAACCATTTTTAAAATTGTGTTGTTAGGCAAAATAGAGCAATTTTGTAGTAGCTGAAAGGGCTGGTGTCAAAACCTGAAAGCAAAAACTTTAGTGGATAAGCAGATTTAGAGGCATTTTAGTTTGTCTCAAGGAAGTTATGGAACATAGTTTGACAGCTGAAAAAACTCTAACCCTTGTGTGT